TTTTATACTTATTCATTAGTGGAACTATAGGTAATGCAATGTTTTGTGTATTCTAAATGAAATATTAATTGTTAATTAAATTTTTATTTATTAAAATCAAATTATGTTTTAGTTTGAGAATTGTTTTAATTTTATTTATTTCTTGAATTTTGTATCCAAATAAATTATCATTAAATTATATTTAATATAAATTTTTTAATATAAATATTCACAACTTTAGATAAAATAATTTCCTAACATTGAAATTTATATTGTTAGAATATATTCATTAAATGCTATTATAAAAGACAAAAAAAAAAATACTAATAATTTGTAGTGCTCCAAGACAATATGTATCATAAAGATACACTTTTTATTAAGTTCATAAAATTACCTTACAAAGGGAATTACCATGAAAAATGCATTTGGACCAACTCCTGTTTTTACTTTTGGAGTCATATCTTTTTTATTATTAGGTAAATCAGCTAAAGAAAACCATTCTACGTTTTTTATTTCTTTTCGTGTTTTTGGTTGAAATTTTGTATCTTTTTGAACACCACATATTATGTATAATCTTACTAATTGCTCATTTATTGTTGATTCAATATATTCATTTTCATCTATCAAATTTGAAATGTCAAAACCAGTTTCTTCTAAAACTTCTCGAACAGCACAATGAGACGGATCTTCATCCTCATTAACTTTTCCTTTTGGAAAACTCCAACTACTTTTTGCCCAATAACTTTGAACAAGTAATACTTTAGTCAAATCTTCATTCAATACAATTGCTCCAAAGGTTGGAACATTTTGTTTATAATCGCGCCATTGTTCAAGAATATTATCTATGTTAGCTACATGAGGTTTCAAAAAAGGTATATGAAAAAAAATGTGCGTAGCAAATTCTCTCATACTACATGGTCTTAATTTTGGATTTTCATCTGTACAGTAAAAATCTAAATAAAACCAATGAGCTAATTCGATTTGAAAACATATTCGAACTAAATCTTTTCTTTCTTCTTCAGGTACATTAATAATAAATCGACTGGAAATATCAAAATCATATAATGTTAGTAAAGTAAAATATCGCTCGATGAATATGTAATTATAAATATAATAAAATAATTTTTTAAGAATTAACCTGCTTAAATCGTCGAGAATGTCGGATGGTATCGAATGATCAACCATTTTAAAAATTAATGAAACAATTACAATATTTTCTTTTATAACAAAACTTTATAGACACAAAAAATGTACATAATCATTATAAAATCACAGATCAAATATCACTTTTAAACTATCAAAATTGATTACAATTATACCATTCAATTTCCTTTATTAATTGAAATCGTGCCATCTAACTGCTTTTATTAGTACTAATAAAATATATTGTGCGAATATATAAAACAATTAAGGTATAGTTATCTACGATATGGTATAAAATAAACATTTTTTTTCATGAATTTAATGAATAATTTCGATTATATGATAAAATTATAATTATTACAGGATTCTTAATTATGTAATATTGATTATAATTTTAATTTTGAAAGTTTGGTGGATTAATACGAAATTTAGAAGACTTGATAGAAAAGAAAAAATAGAGAAACAAATTTAAAATTTTCCAAAAAAACTTCATCCAATTACTTTTTAAGATATTAAAAAACTTTTAGCACTATATGTTTAATATTGCATATATAAATATATAAATATTACCTATCTAGATATTACTACATCATTGGTTATTCAACATGGATGATAATGCTATAGACAGTTATTTAGTAACATTTGAATAGTATAAGATTATGGATAGTATGAAGTTAGTCACATCTACATATTCAATGTGCAGTTCTGGTGAAAATTTTTTAAAATTATTTGAATTCCACTTTTTCTCTCCTATTATTTTTCAAAATTTTAAATTTTATTAATTTTTAAAATTAATTTTAAATTTTATCAATAAATCACTGGCATTTTGAAACTTATTCATAATATAACTTTTTATAAGAGATATTTTGAATATTATTTATAAAATTATAATTTAATTTTGGAATTTACTTCGGTGTTAATATGAAATTTTCAAAAATAACATTATATATATTTTTAAGAAAAATTAAAAAAAAAACTATAGACAGAAATAAATATATTTATTATTATTATTAAAAAATCAATGAGTAATATTGTTTAATAATACTATTTAATAATATTGTTTCATATAAATTATCTTATTTAGTAAATATAAATCAATTAAAATTTCGAAACTCTTCGAAGTTTAAAAACTTGAAATTTTACCATTTTTGTAATTCGATTATATTTTTTTACGTTTATAAACAACTTATATATAACTTATAAACAAAAAATGAGATCCTCCATTTTAATAGCCTATTGTTCTAATAGTATTTATTTCTTTTTATGTAATTAATTATAATCCAAATTAAGTTTGTATTTTATTCATTTCAATTGATATAATTGTATCAATTATTAGTTTATTTAAAAATTAAATATTTTATAATTATATATAGTTTTTATTAATTATATTATTCAATAAAAAAATTCCAAACTTCAATAAGTCTATAATTCCTGAAAAAAAATTTCGTATTACAATTCTTTTTGCTTAGATACAAAAATATACAATATTTATAATATATAAATTTATAGATATTTTCATATAATATTAATTTGTACATATACATTGTACAGATAAAAACAAGTGAAAATTAAAGATATATTTTGTAGATTTATGTAAATTATATTGAATATTTTATCAAAATCTATTATTATTATGAGGTACAAACAATTAAAAATTGTAAAAATTGCAGTCTTTTAAGTCTTTTGTAATAAATCTACAATATAATTTTTCAATTTTAAGCTTAAATAAAAAAGTTGTAAAAATGATTTTTATTTTCCTCATGATTTCTATTAATTCCAACTTTTTCAAAAAGCTTTTTTACATGTCACGTAACAAATTAATTTTTCTAATTTAAAAAAATTTAAATTATTTCAACGCAATTTAAAAAATATATTTTATTTTAAATAGTTCTGTACTTTTGTCAATAAACATTAATTGATTAATTCTAAAATTTGTTGTAATATACATTCTATGCTTTTAGTATTATTTGTCACTTTCAAATCCCATGTATTTATATCATCCAAATCACATTCGGTTTCTGCATCATCAATACCTGTAAAATATTTAAATTATTATTTTTTAAATTAATAATAATGAAAATACATAAAAATTATAAACTAATTATGAAATTCACATTAAATTAATAAATTCAATAAATTTCATTACTATTTATTAAATTTAATATTAATTCTCTTTTTACGTACCTGTTACAAATGTCCAACCACGCTCAATTCTAATTGAATCATCTGATTCAATACGAATTGTTTTACATATATCTTTAAAATTTTCTGTAAACCATTGTATGTCAGTTTTTCTTCGTATATCGCTTACTATCCATATCGATTTATCGTATGCTAAAATGAATATACAACATTACACAGAAATTTAATATAAAACATTAATATAAAATTCCTAATATTATAATATAAAATTTTTCACCATTATATATATCTAAAGCCGCACGACAAAAATAACCTGGATCTGTATTTCTAATATTTTCTCCCCACTTTACCATTTCAAGACGATAGTTTTCTTTGTACTTTCCATCTCCCATTAGTTGATCAATATTTAAATCATGAGATTTAGCCCAATGAGACTTAATTGGTGCAGATATTTTTATAATTACACTACTATCAGATCCAATTCTATTAAAAAGAATATAAATAATAATATTAAATTATAAATTTCAATAAAATATATTATTAATATTTTTAATACTAAAATCATTTCTATTATTTATTGTAAAAATGTTATTATTAAAAATTTGTGACCTTTCATATAAAATGTTTGTAATATAATCTTTTCCACATTTTCTTTTACCGCTAAATAATAAAACTATTTTTGGTTTTGAAGAATTTTTAAAGTTTATTACACTACTATCGATATGTTGACTACTCGCCATTTTGTATTATCACTGTAATTATTTAAACATTATTTAAAATAACAAAATACCGCATAATTACTCATTTAAGCATCTAATTTTCTTAAATTATTATGTTACATAGAATAAAATTTTAATAATTTGATATTGTTATTTCAGTAATGCCAAATAATATAAAGTGAGTAGCATTTTATTTTTTAGTGTTGTATTGTAACAGAATGAAACGTTTAGGCGTGTCTCATATAGTCAGTGGATTTATATAAGGGATTCGGTTAGTTTTTTTTACATTTTACGTTTTTACTATTTTATTTCTAATTATATTATATTTTTATCTTTTTAACTTTATTATGATTATAATTTATATATTTTATATATATTCCTAGTTATAATTCATAAGACTAATATATTTTAAAAAAATATTATTTATCGATTCAAAAATATATATTATAATAATACACATAAAAAAAATATATTTCACCAATGAAAACTTTTTAAATGCAAAATTATTAAGTATCAGTTTTATTCTAAAGATTAAATACTATTAGAAAATATTAATCAAATAAGAAATCGATTGATATTTTAATTTATATAAAATAAACAATAAAAAGAGTACGAATTAGAAATTATAACGATTCAAATATTGTTAAATCAAAATATATAGTAAATAAATAATAATTCTCACAAATTCTTATTTTTTATAATATTTGCATAATAATTATGAAAAAATAATAAAATAAAAATTAGTAAACTAACATCTTTAATAAAAAAAGTATTAAGTTTTAATTATAAAAGGTAATGTAAAACAAAATTAAGACTTTCCATTCACGAAGTATATGTTAGAAACAATCATTTTATGAAATCTTACATTAAAATTACTTCATTTATCACTTTACTTTGTTATATAAAAAATATTTTGTTATATTCAAAAAAAATATTTTATTTTAACAGATATAGAGACAGTTATGTGTCTATATAATTTTCGTGAATAGTGAGTTTAATTTTAATGATATTCATTTGATTTTTTAAATTTTTATTACAATAAAATCATTGATATTAAAAAAAAATTATTTTTTAGCTTCACGAAGAGCTTTACGTTTCTCTGCCCTTTTTAATTGTTCTTTGGGTTTTAAATTATGTTTTTTGGCAAAACGTTGATTTCTTAAGAATTTGAGATCCATCTAAAAAAAATATTAAAATAATAAGATATAAATATAATAAAGATATATTTGTTTGTATAAATAATGTTAATGTAAAAAAATAAAAAAATTATGAAAAAATTATTTAAACAATTTAAACTTACACCAAGTGTAGATTCATGCCTATAACGTTTTGGTTTTTTGATACCATTACGGTGAGCTTTACGATCTATAAATTATTAATTAAAAATAATTAATTAAATGCTTTGTATTCTATAATTTAAGAGTAATATAAGATTAATTTTGTTAATTATATATATATATTTTTTTCATACATATAAGAGAAATTTATTATCTAAAAATAATAACCTTGTTTCTACATATTTAAATATAATAAATTTTCTATTTATACTCACTTTGATTATGATTAGTATGATTTTTAGACTTTGCCATTCTTCCGTATAATTCACTTAAAAAGAGAAAAAAAACTTAATTTAGAGAATAAAAAAAATAAATAATATTTGAGGTTATAAATTCTTCAAAGTAGAATTGAGAAATAAAGATTACAAAAAATTACTACTAAGCAAAGTTATTTAATATTAAAAATAATTTAATAATATGATTATATTAGTTAATCTAAAGATTATTTGGATAAAATATATTTAAAATAAAATTTTCCACTTACATGACTTAGTCTCAAGTTTTCGGAAGCGGAAGTTTCATATGAAAAGAAATATATTAGTAAAGAACGACAGTAGCGCCTTATGTTGCTACGTATTCCTTTTTATTTTTTTTTCAAATTCAATTTTTCAATTTTTTTCTTTTTTTAAAGTCTTTTTTTTAAAAGATTATTTAACGTTATATGTTTCGATCCAATTTTAATATGAATAAATAGAGGAGATTTAATATCAAATATATTTTTTATTTTTTTCTTCGAGATTTTGTTCTTGATGTTTTTACTATTTTAGTATCATTCTCAATATTATTAATTCGATCTAAAATAATTAATTGTAATACTAATTAATAATAAGCAATTGAAATTGAAACTAAATTAAAAGCAAGTATAGATAAAGAAAATAAATAAAAGGAGAAAGATTAGGATAAAAAATAAAAAAAATAATGAATCAATATCTTTTTTTTAAACTTCAAAATTCATTAGCAGTTCATAAATATTATTTGTTTGCTAGTTTGTTATATGCTGTTCAAAGTCTTCATTACAAAGTCTTCGTTTCGTCAAAACATCATTGCGAATATCAGTTTATAGGTACCAATGTTATAAATCGTTTACAATATGCGTCATATAAAGTAGTTCCACTATAGAAAAAAACAGAAAATATTCTTTTCATTGGATAATAAAGAGAATCAATATGGCGGTTAACTCATAAAATAAAGCATTTAAATACGCATTTTGATTCCATTTTATTTTTCTAAATTAAAATTATGATTTTTGTATTCATCAAATTCTATCAATTTGCAAAAAAAAAAATCTTCAAAGTTTTATATCTTTAGAAATAAAATTTAGTCTTGATAAATTTACACATTATTGCGAACTGATCAAAAACAAACTCAGCCACAAACTAAATATAGAATCGATATTCAACATATGTTTATATTATATAGTCTTGGGACTACGTAGCTTTATAATTCGTATTGTTACATGTGATTCAAAAAAAAAAAAAAGAATTGTAATTAAATGAAAGGATAATCATTATTTTTGATAAATTGATTTAATTTGGGATGTTATTAATTATGTTATTAATTATTATTATCGCTAGAATCATAAAAAATATTACAATTAAATTTAACAAATTTAATATATAATCAATTTCTTTAATTAAAAATATTATTTTATAAAATATTCTATATTATAAATTATTTCTATATTATTATTTTATAAAATATAACTATATATATACATATATATATGTTTAGTAAAAATTATTTTCAAAATTCTATCAAGAAAAAAATTAATGAAAAATAAGAATTGTAAATTTAATTTTATTTCATGTTATTTTAAATTGGAATAACAATTTTTAAAAAATTTTATATACAAAAAACTGATTTTTTTTCAATAATATTTTTTAATATTTTAACTATGATATTTTATAATATTTTATAATATTTTATAATATTTTTATTAAATATATAATATATAATATATATATATATTATATATAATATATATAATATATTTGTGAAAATTTTTTAATTAAAGTAAAATCAAATACGAATTTGAATTATACTTTCGTGATAACTTTTATTTTCAACTATTAAATAAATAAATAAATATAATTATTTATTTAAATTATATCTTAATGTTATGTATCTTAATGCTGAATAATCGTATTTAATTTTAATCGTATTTTTAATAAAATTTATTCTTTATTTAAATTTAAATTTAATGAAATTTAATTAATTTTTATTAATTTTTAATGTATTTCATTATTATTATATATTATTTCATTATTATTATTATTAATATATATATGTACTATGTTTACAATAATTTATATATTATGTACATAATAACTTATTATTTTTTATTATATTTTCATTTTTTATATATTTGAACGAAAAAACTCATTCATGGTAACGAATATTCGATAAAATGATTTTATCGAACAATAAAAAGAATTGACTATAAGATTGTAAGAATTGACTTATGTTAATTAAATATTATATAATCGCTGATATTAAGCTTAATTTAAATTATATAATTAATTATAATTAATTAATAATTTATAACTCTAAATTTGCAATAATATATTATATAAATTTTTTTTTTTTCCTTTTTTTAATTTTATTATTTTTCATTACTTATTTTCATAAAATTAAAAAAATCAAAATTTAGTATTTTATTATATTTTTTTATTTTATTCAATATAAATAAAAAGATTCAATTATATTTAAATATATTTATTATTGATTGATCTAATCTTAATAAATACCGTTTGGTTTCTTCAATCAAGTTTCTTCATTATTATTTTTTTATTTCATATTCTATAAATAAACTTGGTTTCAGTCCAATATTCGAAATATCAATATATTACAATAAATAATCTGTTTCTTTTAATGTAGTTCTGCAATTTATATAACAATGAGTAAAAATATATACACTTTTGTTTATATAATAAATAAAAATACATACATTTCTCTAAAGTGCAATTTTTCTGCTGTTAATGCGAGCTTTCTAATATTTCGAATGGTAGATGCTGCAGCAATTTGCAGTTCTGGATCATCTGATCCCACTAAACGTAGTATATACTGAAAGTTTTCAATATAAATATATATCAATTCTTATAAAACATAAAATATACAATAACGAATTAATTAAATTACTAAACATTATAATAAAAATTTTTATGAATTTATTAAAGAATTCTTGATTAAATATTAATTATTGTTATTTTATTATGCTTTTTATCTTCCCAAATATTATATATATTTTTATTTTAATATTTTTATCATAATAAATAAATAAAATGTAAATAATTAACTTAATTCAAAATATATCAAAATATATATAAATTACAGTATAAACGTATAAATATCTCTTACAGAGAAACTTTATTATACCTTAATAATACCAGCAGAATGCATAGTAATACAATTCATAGGTTCCCTGCTTAAATGATATGCAGCTGTACAAACTCCTCTAAGAACATCTTTATTCTTGCTTGTCATATAATTAATTAATGGAGCAACTGCTTGTAATTGACCAAATTTAAAGTTATTCTCTCCCCATTCGCAGCAATGAGCAATGGCTAAAGTTAAATTTGCACGCAAATTTTCATCTCGCTAAAAAAGAAAGTAAAATAACGAATAAAAATAAGAATTCGAAACAATTAATTTGCAAAATCGAAGATTTTTTCAATTTCATCTATAAAACAAAGTGTAAATTTTCGAATGAAAATTTTAAGGAATACCGTGGACACAAGGGCTGCCAGTTTATCCACCACACCATGATCGCTAAGAATGCCTAAATTTTCTGGATCTATAGCGATTTCGGCAATAGTGGCGCAGACTGCACTCAACACTTCGTTGTTTGGGTTGTCGAGGAGACTGACCGTGAGTTCCAACCCGCCTACGAATGCTCGTACCATCTCTGGAGAATCTTTTGCGTATTTGATGCAAGGCACCAATGCGAGGCAGGAGTTTATTTTGATTCTATCGCTGGGATGTTTGAGCAACGACCAAACTAATCGGACGCCATCGTTGATGTGCTCCGAATCATTGATAATATCCATGCACAATTCATTCTGAGCGCATTCTTTTATCACTAATGGTATGTTTTCTAATAGAGGCTCGTATGTAGAACTTAACAACTTGATCTGCATATGATTTATGATTTATGCTTCATTAATATTTTATGTCATATTTTTTAACCGAGAGATCAACTTGTCATTTTGAATCTAATTGTATAGAAATATACTATCGAAAGAAAGTTTCATGTTTGTATATAAAAATAAAACAGAGCAAAAAGATCAAATCACGATAAAATAAAGATATTTATCATAGAGTAATAAATTTAAAAAATTGAAATTATTTAATTTAATTATAAACATATAAAAAATCTGAACAATAGAAGATTAAGAAAATAAAGATAATAAATATCCAACCAATAATAAAAAACAAAATTCATTATTTCTAATTCAATTTCATATTATCTTATATTATAAATTTCTTTCTATTAAATAAAATATTTCCACGATAAAAAATAAATGAACAATCACCAGATTTGGCAATCCTTCATTGACCCTCAGACGGTCTCTATTAACAGGATCTTTGCAACATTCTGCCAATGCTCCTACAACATTCGCTTGCACTTCTTCATCTTCAATTTCTTCCAGAAATTGTACCAAAGAAGTTATCAAATTATTTTGATTAAACCTTATGACGTTCTCTGGACTCATGGCACATTTCCATATTCCACCTGTGACAGCAGCTAGCAATCGTTTATTAGCACGAACCTCTTCTTTTTCTAAAAGCTTGCACAATATATCTAGACCAGACGATTCGCGAACCATATCCCTGGCGACTTTGTTGAGGCCACATTTGTATATTGCTAGAGCACAGTTTTCTTGCAACTTGACATTATCACTTTTTAAATGTCGCACCACATCATAGATAATAGTTGTTTTCTCAAATGATTTGCGAAACATATCCTGAAGAAAAACGTGAAGATTTTTTTGATTGATATAATTTTATAATAGTTTTATTTACCTTTTAAATATTATCTTTTAAATAAAATATTATTTATTATTATTTTTTTTAAATATATAAATAATAAATTATAATTTATTGAAAATGAATTTTTAAATATTCAAGTTTAAAATTTAATTATTTTTCTCATTAAAATAAAATTTAATAAAAAATTTAATACAATAATAACAATAATAGTATATATATGCATAAATATCATTTACCCTATTCGCGCACTGCTGAATAGTTCCAATCATCGGTATTATAAGAGAAATATGTTCTGATTTTAAGAAACGTTCCATATGATTCACTACGCCATGAGCATGAAGCGATTCTCTTATTTTTGGACTACTGCTCAGTGAATCTAACACTTTAGCACAAGCTATCGCAACCCTTATCAATTCTTTATTAGCTTCATTTAAATTATTGTATGGCGTTTGAAGGATAGAATCTGGTATATCCATCACATCCAACTATAAATATATTATATTATTTTTATGAATATTTTTCTAATAAATCCAGAAATAATGAAATCCGATTAAGTCTTTAATAACAGATTAATTTAAAATGCTCACAATGAGAGGTATTCCATTTCTAATTCGTATTTGTTTTCTCGCTTTTCTTACTCGCGCGATAATAGCCATGGTTTCTGCTGCTAAAACCTTTGCAACAGAATAATTTTATTAATTTGATTTTTTTTTTATATTTTTGAAATTCTTATGTAAATAATCGACAATAAAATTCTTAATAAATGAAAAACTAACTTGAATATCTCTAGCTGGATATCTTAACATTTGAATCAACGGTGTTACAATACCAAGATCAATTAGATGTCGTCGCATATCTATCGATGTTATAATTTGAAGTAGGACTGACAACGAGCCGTTCTGACATTTTAGATCTCTTGTTTCGAGTAGATTCACTAAGATTTCTAGACCTCCCATATCTCGAATTGCTTTTTGTATTGTCTATTATTATACACAATTAAAATTGCATTTTATTTTTTATATGCATCAGTTTATTAAAATTAAAACTCACTGCGAATATTGTTTTCTAGATGTAGAAATTAATTTAAAAAATTCTAAAATTCTGTGTAAAATTTTAATAATTAAACAATAATGTTAGCAAAATTTGAACTATTCAAAAATTAATTTTAATATTTGTATTAATAATAATAATGTTAATATTGCTAATTACGATAAGAAAATTAATATTAATAACTAACATTATAACTGTATAACAGGAAAAGAAATAAATTACTTGATTAGCCAGATCGTAATCTTTTAAAAGACAGACAGCCACCATAGTTGCAGTTTGATTTCCTGCTTTCATATATCTGATAAGTTTCTGTATATGCCAAAATTCTGTTGGCACTTCCGGAGCTTCTTCTTCAAAATATTTTACTTCTTCATCGATTTCTGATTCAGGTTCGTCATCTGAACTCTCATCTTCCTTTTTTTCACTTATGTAATGAACTCGAGGTCCGAAAGGTTGTCCTGTGACTGCTGATATTAGTGGTTTCGGTGGTTCTTCTGGTTCAAGTACTTCCAAAATATCTGGTTCGATTCTTTATTTAAAAAAAATTAAAAATTAAGACGAAGAATTATAATTACATTATTATGATTATATTTATAATCGCAGAATATAATAATATATCACAGAATATAATTGATACTATATGTAAATATTAATCGATTATAAAACTATTTAATAATAAAATTATTAAATTTATAATTAAATTATTTATTTGCAAAGAAAAGATGAAGTGATATTATTTTAACTATGTATATTTATAAAAATTATTTCAAATATAATGAAAGGTATTATTAAATAAATAAAAGAAGGAATATTAAAAAAAAATAATATAAAAATGAAAAATTGACTCTTATCTTTTGATATGTTACAAAATATAATGTTTCAATAAGATTTATGTAAAATTCAAGATTTTATTATTTATTATCAAGATTTATGTAAAATTTTTTATTTAATACAAACACATATTACATTTAATGTTTAAAGCATTTAACTTACACTGGTGGTGGATCGATGGATATCTTTTTTGCATCTTTTTTTCGTTTTGGTGGCATAGTTCTCTATTTCTGATTACAAAGAAAAATTAACACTTTGGTCACTTTTTTTTACATATATGAAATAAAGTAACTTCCTTGTTTTATGCCTTTGTATTAAAGAATTTCTTAACCTCCACTTTGAGCACGCATGTATTGATCAAACAGTTGTTCAGAATATGTGATCTATAAAGATATTCTTTCTATAAATCATATTTTTTATTATTTTTTTTTAATTTTATTAAATTCCTATTTATAAATCCTCGTATGTTTTTAAGAGAAATCATTAAATTTTAAATTATTTAATTCCTTAGCTTCTATTTTATAATTTATGATGATAAATACTAATTTCTTAATAATTTTACAATTACGTTAATTTGATTCAAATTAACAATTTTATAATTAATTGGAAAAATGAATCTCTTTCCAAAATAATTTACTGACCTGAATAAGTGATTTATTAATTAAATATATTGTTTTCATGTTTTCTTTACATATATATACCTATACAACAAGGGCAGATATAATCGAAAAAAGTCGAAAAGTTTAGAAATACTAATTTCGATAATTCGTACATATAAATAGATATTATATTAAAATATAAATTCATATGACAGATAACTATGAAATTACTTGATGTAAAATATTCTGAATGTAGTGACACTTTGCTGAACGATATTTATTTTTTATTTAAATTATATTTCTGTTTCGATTCATCGCATTCAATGTTCAATATTTCGTATTAATTATGTCAATTGAGATTTACAAATGACAGCAAAGGCGTAAAAACATTAATTGTCCTATATTCTAAATTTTAGGTTAAAACTCTACAAAATTTTGGCCCGTTCGTTTATTAATGTCAAAACAAATATTTTTGTAGGAAATAATCTCGAATATAATAATGTATAATGGTGGTTGATGTATCAAAGATAGAATTTACTTATGAGATATCTCTTTATGCTGTTAAATCAATGAAAAAATGTATAATACGTATGGCTAAAATTTATAAGCATTTTACTCATCATTAAGGTATGATAAATTTAAATGTGTATGTTTCTATAATTTGAAAAATTTGATATTTTATTCGAGTGTTACAGAATGAAGAACGTCGAGGAAAAAGGTGGAAGTAAAAATCTAAGAGCGGTTTGTAAAATTGCTAAGAGAATCAAATGTTCCATATACACATATATGCTACTCCGTTTTCAGTGGTGTTACTTTTAATATCTTTATCAGTATGGCTTTGTATATGTCGGTGGGGATTTCGATATAATTTAAAAGATCGAGAAGTAATTATTTAAACTATTAATTACTATATAATACAATTGTAAAATCATTAAAGCATTTTTATCATATTATAATCATATTTTGTTTTTATGTGTTTATTATTATTAATTATATAAATGAATAAGTTATAATAATACTTATAAACAACTTATACCTGCAGATTTTGTCCTGTTTAATTTTGTACTTTATCGTCATCACTTTGTTGAATATGTTCTTTTTGGGCCACATGCAATTTTATTGTGATCGTCCACATGGAATCAAAAATTAAAAGCTTGTTATTGTAACACGTAAGATTTAATATATTTAGTAATGTATATGTACTATTCACTATATCTGATTCGAAAAAAAAATAACAAAATTGATTAATATTTCAATATAAGTAAGTGAATGTTGCATTAAAGTATTTATTAAATTTATTATATATTGAATTTTGTAAAAATAAAATATCTGTAATATAACAAATATATCATCTGTAATTATTGTATTACATTATTATTTTCTTTAAATCGATATTAATATATATATATATATATATATATATATATATTTATTATTATATTATTATATATATTTGTATATATAAGTATATATATATATTATATATTAATATATATACTTATATTTGATACATTGATTGAAATATTAATATATGTATCAATATTTAATAAATATTATTTAATAAATATATTTTTTAAAATTGTATTATTTTTTGTTTTAATTGAAAATATAAAAACGTATTGTTAAAAATTAATTTAACTATATAATAAAGCTGTACACAAAAATATAATATTCAAATATACTTATGAAAATGGTATATTTCGATTTATCGAAACTTACTAGCTTAAGTTTCTATAGTAACTTACTAGGTTAAATTTCTATAGTGACTTATTAGGTTAAGTAACCACAAGTTGATAAGATTTTGTTCTAATTATTTAATTTTATTTTAGTTACTGAATATATTTAAAAAAATACAAGGTATTAAATATTTTATTTAATTAATATTTTAATACTTTTAAATAACAAATTTAAACATTGATTTGTAATTTAATGTATTATTGAAAAGTACATAACCATCAAAATATGTTAAAAGATGTTATTTGTATGTTATATATTAATTAAAATACGAATTATAATAATTAGATTACATATTCCTTATGTAATCTAATTATTAATAAATATTTTTATATATATTTTGTTATTAAATATCTAGATATTTATATATTGTAAGAAAATGCATAGTTAATAGAAAATATATTAATGAAAGAATAAAAAAATTGATAAATTGATTTATTGTATATTTTTTATATATAATATTATATATTATACATATTTTTTCAGATGGGTATGCGTAAACATGCTCAATTTGTTGCTCGAACAGTTATGGTTCAAAATAATAATATAGAGAAAGCTGCTCGTTTATTGAATAATATATTGTCAAAAGAAGGTATTTTTGAGCAATATAGATATACAAGATACTATGAAAAACCTACTCAAACAAGAAGAAGAGTTAATTTTGAAAAGTGTAAAGCACTTTATTCTGAAGACATGAATAGAAAAATTCGTTTCATTTTAAGAAAAAATAGAGAAGATCCATTTCCTGGCAGTTCATAAAACATTTATTAATTTTGATATTATTTATAGGTCAATATGTACATGATATGATTGTATATTTTTATTTTATCGATATTATTCATATGCACAAGTAGCATAACATTAATAAATTATGAAGTTAATATAATGTAACATTCAATAAATTATAAAATTTAATCAAATTAATCTGTAGAATAAAGTACAAATTAATAAAAATATGCATAATGCAATATTTAAATTATTGATTTAATGCATATAAATATATAAAAGTATACAATTTTTTAATGAAAATATCAAACTGTATATTATTATATTTTTAAACTATAAACTATAAACTTTAAACAATATAGATAATATGATATGCTATGATAAAATTCTTTTTTGGCTTAATAATTTTTTATATTTCATATTTATGTGTATATATATATATATAAGATATATATATATAATAATATATATTATATATATATATATATATATATAATAATATATATATAATAATATATATTATGTATATATATATAATATATAAAATATATATACAAATAATATATATAAAAAATATGCTTTCAATAAAATTTTCCAATAAAATATTTTTTCTGTTACTTTTTTATTGAAATTATTTCTGAATTAACAAAATTTAAAAGAATTTTTATATACATATTGTGATAAGAATTAAAATTTTATATTAACGAATTTTTAAATTAATTTAATTTCTATTAGTAATAAAATAATAAAATATAACACAAATAGATTTTATGCAATTATTCATATAATTTGAATATAAATAAAACAGAGATAAATAAAATAAGTATTGCGTTACGTATATAAAGATAATAAAAAAATTTGTAAATATTATTATTATATTTGGTTATTTTTATGATTTAATAGGTCATATTAAAATAAAAGAGATTTTATTTATATTATTATTATAGCATATAATATTGATCAAAATTTTTTTAAAATACCTTTATATTTCATATTTAAATATAAAATATAAAACTTTATTAGAAATTTATATTCTCAATTTTTAAATTATGTTTTCAAATTTTTTATATTAAAACAGTTACACGAGTGACTTAAAATCAAGCTTTGTATAGTGGCGCCATTGTATGAATTATTTGAATCATCTACTTTAGATCTCCGTTGGTAAATAAGACTCATGAAATTTTTAAATCGATTTAAAAATAGTTTAAAATTATATATCAATGTCTTAATAATTTTTATTTTAATGAATGGCATAAAATTTTAAATCAATTATTAATATTTATAATAATTTAATATAATAATTTATAAAATAATGAAATACTATGAAATTAAAATATAAAATAATTCATAATAATTTACAATAATTTTTATAAAGAGATCGATTATTTTCTTTAATCAATTTTAAATATACTTTTTTTTGAAAATTTTTCTTTGGATTTAATATATAAAGTTTTTAATAAAAAGATGTTAAATATAATAACAAAACATCATAATATACATTATTTTAAACAAAATAAAAAAAAGAAAATATATATTTATAAATTTTACGTATTATATATATATTATTTTTGTAAAATACATATATAGAATATTAATATTTATTATTATTATTATATATATATATAATATATAATATAACAATATATATATAACATAATATACGTATACGTAATTAATACATAAAAATAGCTTTAAATTTCTAGAGATTCTAGAGATTATTTTAGGGATAAAAATAAATGATAAAATTTGATAAAACAACATAAAATCTGATAATAAAAAATGTTGATTAAAATTTATTTATTAAGTTATAAGCAATTGAAATTTATGTTAAATATTATCTAATAATAAGTCTTAATAATATTTACATAAACCAATTTTTCTGTTTTATTTATGATTTTGTTTCTAGAATTGAGTTTCTCACAAATATAATAACTTTTCTAATTTTTTTTTAAAATAATATCATTCTACATATATATTATAGAAAGTAAAAATTAATACTTATTTTGATTTTCAATATTAATAAAAATTTGTAAACTAATGATTTCATTCATCATTTTATTAAGTTTATGTGATAATATAATCTGGTATAAATGTTATCGGTTTTTAAATTTAGATTTATTTACAGTTTTCAAGAAATATATCATAATTGTATATATGTATGCTAACTATATTGCAAAAAAAAAATTACATTTTTTAATTTATTTTCAAGATTATTATTTTATTATTTAGAATATATGAGAATAATCCCATAAATTATTATTAGTTTTAATGTTTTTTTTTATATTTGTGAATAAATAGTGTTTAAATTAATAAATTAATAAATATGGAAATTTTTTATTAAAAGTATTACATGCAATATTATTACTGAGAGTAATATTGCAAAATTAGCAATATTATTTAAATTTTTAGTTTAAGTCTAAAACTTTTAATAGATTTTAAAAAAATATAAAAATTTTTCTATATATATTTTATAAAATACTAGAAATAAATTTTTAAAATTAAATAATAATTTTACGAGAAAATTATTAATTGTTGCATAATAAATTTTATTGCAAAATTAAAAATATTAAATAAATTCAACTTTTTTTTAAATTGAAAATTTTTAATTAGAAGAAGAACTATTAAATTTATATTTAAAATAATATTTCAAAAACAGCGTTTTTTGTATTTTTCATTTTAAATCAAATTAAAAATAGATTGAAAGCTTTCTGAATAATATAATATATAAATAGAAACAATTTTCAAACATTTTATATTTTTACAATGATTGAAATGAAAAAATGTTAGAAAATAATTTAATAATCTAATATTACAGAAAGATAATTATATAAAATAATTATATAAAAATGTTATATAATTTATATAAAAATAATTATATAAAATTTTTTATTTTTTTAAATTTTACTTTCCTTCATATATATGTAAATATTTAAAAGAAAAAAAAGAATAAAATAATAATTTATTTATTTAATAAATATGCAATTAGTAAATGTTATCATATCTAATGATTTATATCATTTATATTGATTAAAAAAAATTAATAATAATTTGAATAATGTAATAATGAATAATTTTCAAAATATATATTTTCAAAATAGAAAAAATTGAGTGAAATTACATAAATAATGATTAATACGTAGAGAAGAATGGAAACATAAAATAATAACATATTTACCAATTTTAAGTTAGATTACATTTTTTTACAAAATTATTTATTTATTACGTACTATATATCTGTTCTTTTATTATTTAATCACATTTAAAACATCTTAAGAGCATCTTAAATAGTAAATGCACTTAAAATCGTATTTAATTTTAAACATATATATATATATATATAATATTATAATTTAAATATATATTAATACATATATATCATAAAGCAAAATTACATATACAAAATAGTATATAAAAATTAATATAATTTAAAAAAAATTTATCTATTATTGAATATCTGATTATACAGAATAAATATACTGAATTTTAATTTAATAATAATCGTTTTTTAAACATTTTGGTAAATATTTTTTAATACGAAATCGTTATTAAAATTTTTAAGAAAGATTAAAAATATAGTCCTATTAATAATTGTTATGTTATTATGAATTATTACATATTAATAATTTAATTAATTTTTAACTTCGTTCAATTTTATAATGTTATATTAAAATTTACATTTTTTAAAATATAATATATAATTTTTAATGTAAAAATATTTATTAAAATCTAAAAACTGAGTTATTTTTGTTAAAGTAAAATCTATATTTGTATTATATATTATCATTATAATTTAATTTTTAATGATTATTCTGATTACTCTGTGCATTTTAAAAAATTACAATTACAGTAAATATAAGTTTTTATTTTTTTTTGCTAATTTATTTTAATTCAATATTTAGATTTTCTTTCTAATTTAAAGAGATTATATTTTTATATAATATTTTTTTTTAATTCATAAAAATAATCTATTATAGTAATAGTGAATAGGTACATTTAAAAAAAGTGATTGACAAATTTTAGAAAAAATCATGCGTAAAATAATTCAATTAAAAATTAAATGAATTATCATTTGCTATTTTTGATTATTATATTATCGATTACAATTATTTTCTTACTAAGGAATTTGGTACTATTTTTCTTGCCAAACTATCGAATTTATTCATCAAGAATTAAAATATCCGATAAAATTTTTTTGATGTCTTCAAAAAGTTTTGATATCCGAGAAAAAATAATTTAGTAAAAACTTCTTTATTAAGTACAACACAGATTATAAAAGTCAAGCAGAAAGCATTGAATCTTTGATGCAAACGGAGAAGTTTATTTTTTGGAGAACTTTTTAAAGCTAAATTTAAAAAATTATTATTAAAAAAAAATATATATATATATTATATTTTAAAGTTTTTAAAGTTTTGAAATTACAGTCCGACAATTGATTTACAGATCATATAATAATAATACTAAATCTGTAATTACAAGAAAATAATTATTGCTTTTGTGACTTCTGTTTTACAGGTTTGAAAAATTTTATTTCTAAATTTTCTAAATTAAAAAAAATTGTCAGATTAAGAACTTTTTTATGCAAGTGAATTTTAGGACAAATAGAAAATTAACAAAAAATTAATTTATTAGAATAATATAATGTTAAATATTTAAAAAAATTTAATTCTGAGAAGAAGCTATTCTATGATATATTAGGAATAATATTTATTAATTTTTTTATAATATTTATAATATTTTTTTTGTAATATTTAATAAATGCAATAAATATATTGCAAGAATGATGATAGAGAAAAAATAAAATATTTTCTTTTTAATAAGATATTTTAAGATTTATTACAACTTAATAAAGATCATTTGTTTCGAAATAGAATTTCTATTAATTACAATTTTTCCTTATTGTGAAATAATAAAAATTTTAATTAATTATCAATATTAAAAAAAATTAATTATTTCATTTACACTAAGATTATTAAATAAAGTTATATTTTATAATAATATGAGATATTTATATTTTTAATATTATAAAAAAATTATAAATATCTTAATATCTTTGTATCTTATTATTTATTATTCCATCGTATTTGAAAAATAAAATTAAAAATTTCATTTGAAGAAAATTAAATTTACAATCTCATTTCCTTTATAAAGAAATTATTGTCACCATTTTATATTTTTCTTGCAACTATTTTTTTTTAATTGTTTGAAATAAACTGTATATTAATTAATTCTTCTAGAAATAAAATT